TGTCTTGGTATTTTTTCTCTTTTTGCTTAAGTATCTCCCTGTGTTACATCCTACAAAATAACCCATCTTAGCAACATACAACTACCGATTTTCTCTACATACATGTAAAAATGTATGCTTTTTCATATCTATTGCTTTTTCCTTTTTAAAAGATATGTCATTGTTTTTATTTGAAAGGTAGATTTATAGAGAGAAGAGAGACAGAAAGAGAGATCTTGTCTCTGCTGGTTCACTCCCCAATGGCCACAATGGCCGGTGCTGCACCGATCCAAAGCCAGGAACTTCCGGGTCTCCCACACGGGTGCAGGGTCCCAAGGCTTTGGGCCGTCCTTGACTGCTTCCTCAGGCCACAAGCAGGGAGCTGCATTAAGTGGAGTAGCCAGGACACAAACCAGTCCCATATGGGCTGCTGGCATCAATACACCACAGCAATAGCCCCTCCATGCTTTTCAAAACCAGGGCAACATTGTCCGTTTCTGCTGCTATCTCGTTTTTATCACCTAAGGCCACGCCTGGATGAACTCGGGGTCACCCAACGGTGGGTGGGCTTTGATCCTGGGCACTGACAGGAGGATGTCCTGAGCCGTGTCTTCGTGCGCTGTACCTCAACACCCATTGCTAAAGTGTCAGTTCCTTGGGGCTCAAGGAGGATGGCTCGCCCTGCACTGTGGGTATCCTATACTGCGTCACCAAACGTGCACACTTATACTTCAACCAACTCACTCTTCCTTCCGAACTGCATTTTTTGTTTTGTTTTAAGATTTATTAATTTTATTGGAAGGGCATATTTACAAGAGAGAAGAAACAGAAAGATCTGTTTGCTGGTTCACTCCCCAAGTAGCTGCAACGGCTAGAGTTGAGCTGATCCAAAGCCAGGAGCCAGGAGCTTCTTCCAGGTCTCCCACGTGGGTTCAGGGTCCCAAGGCTTTGGGAAATCTTCTGCTGCCTTCCCAGGCCACAAGCAGGGAGGTGGAAGGGAAGTGGAGCAGCCAGGACTGGAACCAGTGCCCATATGGGATCTCGGCGGGGACAAGGTCAGGATTTAGTCACTAGGCTGTTGTACCAGGTCTCCTAACAGTGTTTTAAATCTGTGTCTTACTGCCTGTGTTTAAGGTGTACAACGCGACTCTGGGACACATATGTCCCTTGTGAAATGCCCACAAGCTGTGACGTCATGCCTCCTTTCCTCTCTTCTCCCAGCCGACCCCACAGACCCAGCGCGCCTGCGTCCCAAGGGCGGTCCCACAGGCGGCCTGCAAGTCTCTCCGTGCATTTTCTCACACTTTTTTTTTTTCCAGACTTCAATGAGATTGGGTTGTCCATCTTTGTTTTGGGTTATCCATCTTTGTTTTGGGTTATCCATCTTTGTTTTGGGTTGTACCGCTTTGCAATAAAGAAGAAACAAAAACGAACAGACACAGACAGTGTGCAGTGTGCTCAGGCCACGGTGCCCATGCCCTCGGGCAGCCGACCCTGCCCGGCCTCCCCCGCGGGGCAGAACAGCCCCCCGGCCTCCTGCTTGGCGCCCTTCCAGGCTGCCGCGGGAGTCTTCCACATTTCGCTGGGCCAGATGGCCCAATCAACAGCTCGGAGCTCAAGAGGGATGAGTCATCACAAACACACACTTAGAAATTCTAAAATTAGTTCGGTGTAAGCCTGTTGTTTTCAGTTTCTCTGGCTCTGCCAGCCATGTTTGCTGACTGAGCGGTAAACCCCAACACTGGCAGATGCTCGTCTGGTGCTGCGGGAACTGAAGCCCAGTAGAGCACCCAGGGCGAAGACACTGGCATCACACGTGCCCGCAGTGCTCTGCTCCGGGATGGGGGCACCCCCCACGGGACACCAGTGAGGCTGGAGAACACCCACATGGAACACCGGATGCCGAGATGTTTTGAGAATGGGCAACTGAAACATTTTTCTCCACCCTCTGAGATGCAGTGCCTGGGGCCTGTGAATCTAGGCAATAAAAGTTGGATTTGTGGGAGAAAAGAAAAGAAAAATCCCACGTAGGGGATTTCATAGGGACAGCGAAGCAAAACCGAAAGAAATGGTTAGACTTAGGGTCTCATAAAAGGAAGCAGGCTTTGGGCTTCCATGATAAACCGTGGGAAAGGTGGCAGGAAATACGGCGCTTTGCAAGTACGGACCCACGTTCCCGGATTCAGCCGGCCAGCGCTGGAAAGATTTGAACAAGAGATGCAGCTGCAAGGAACGTGCAGAGGCTGCTATTGTTCCCTGGGCGATGTGAGATAACAAGTGTTCCCGTGGCATCTGCATCATATTAGGCGTCACACTGACCTGGAGGGGATGTGACGCGTGTGGGAGGACGTGCGTGGGCTGAAGGCAAGCAGTCTGCGTCGCGATGCTCTGCGCACTTGGGAGCCCCATTCCGCAAGCACGCTGTCCTGAACCCCGCACACTGGGGTTTATCCTGCTCCCATCTCTCTCCGCAGCCGCCTGGGGGTGACGGCCTCTCTTAGGGGCTCTGTCTTGGTTCTGCAGGATCCTCATCCAGCTGCGGTTCGCTCACAGCTTGTGGCAACTCCAGCGTTAGTCTTGAACCTCCATGCCGTGCCACCCTGGGACCATGCCATTCCATCTCCTCTCCCAGCAGCCTTGGCTTCTCCACACCATCTCCTGCACTTGTCACCCCGGTGGTGTATCCCGTGCGGGGGTGCCCGTCGGTGTGGGGGAGGTGTCCCAGGGTGGTCCAGGTCTGTTCTGCCCATCACAGCGGCCTCCTTCCCCCCCACCGCCCAGCCCCAGGACCCAGCATCCCATCTGCTCCGTACATGTCAGCCTCACGTGCAAGGCCGTCTAAGCCCCCAATCCCTGCATGGACAGTGGGGCAGGCTGGCCCCCGAGCAGCACAAGTCTGACATTTCCGCCACCCGGAGGGTCGGTGACAGGCTGCAGGTGTGGGGCCGGGGGACTGAGGCAGGTGGGGGAGATGTCCCCCAGGCAACCACCTGCGCCTCAAGCGACTCTTGTACCAGGCTCTGGGAGGACAAGGCCCTGCCCTCAGGGAGCCTGGGGCCTCCCCTTGCAGCCCAGCGTGGCCATCTCTGGCATCTCTCTGAGTCACCTGCCTCTCCACACCCACCTGTCACAGCTCCAGGCCAGCATCACCTGGGCATCCCCTGGGCGCCTGGGACAGGCTGGAGACCAGGGAGCAGAGGTCCCAGACTCACGTTGCCCACCTTTCCCCACCCCCACTGCTGCCGCACCCCCAGTGCCCCTCGATGGGGGTTGCAGAAGCGAAGGGTATCTCTCCCTCTGAGGGATACATGCAAGTTTTGTCTCTACCCATCATCCTCCGAGAACCTCCAAGTGTGTTAAAGGGACTTTCTGAAGAGAAGATAGAATCACACGCCCCATCCAGAGATAAGCCGGCCTGTATCGCAGCTTTATCTGGCCCATTCTGTTTGGAGGCTGCCCATGGGACATTGAGACTGGGTCAAGGAGGAACGGCCGGCAGCACACCTGTCCACCCACCGGGTGGCAGTGTTAGGGCTCCAGCGAACCGGGCTGCAACTTCAGGAGACTGCTCCAGGAGCTGCTCATGCAGGTCAATTCACAGGGTTGCCAAGTGGGTCAGATGAGGGGGTGCCCTGCCTGATGCCCTGCTTGCCAGGAGGCACTTGTGGACTTTCCGGTTCATCTTGGAGTTGCCAGCATATCCCAGTGGCAGCGAGCACACCCCAGGCAGTGTCCCATCTACCCTCCACTCCAACTGTGAGAGGCTCCAGGGGCGAGCCCAGGCCCCCAGGAAGCTACCCGCAGCTGGCGGTGAACAAGTGGGCCTGAGGGCAGGGAGTCTGGGAGGGCAGTACACTTGCTAGACTCTTCCACAGGGCTCCTCCTCACCGATGGAGGAAAGCCTGGGGTCCTTTCCCAGGCCACTGGCCTCGGGTTTCACCTGTCTGACATCTCCATCAGGACAGGCCCTGCATCCCAGGGACCCCCACTTCTCCCAGGTGGTCTGTGTGACTCATCTTCCTGGTCAGCCCCCACCCACACACCACACACGTGCATACCACATGACATACATGTGTACCACACACCACAGACACACGTGTGCACCACATACAACATACAATCACACCACACGGCACAGGTGTGCACCCCATACACCACATGTGCATCGCATATCCCACACGTGTGCTCGCCCACACATGTGCCCTGCATACCCCACACACCCTCCTCTTCGTCCTCTTTTATCTTCCTCCAGGCCCTCTTCTGTGTGGCCCGTGCTGGTTGGCTGGCCCCTGCTCAGGAGCGGCCGCCGTGCGCAGTAGGGATGCTGGTGCGGGTGTTAGGCAGGACTCGACGCCCCTGGTTCTCCATGCAGGCTCCAGCCCCGAGGCCTCGCGCTCTCCTGGACGGGCTCCGTCTGCCCCCCGGTGGCCGCCCACGGTCATGGCCGCCTGCAGTCACGGTCTGGGGGACGCAGGTGCACGTTTTGGAGTATCCTGGTCCTTGTCCCTAAGGAACAGGCTTCTGGCCGTTAACTCGTAAGTCAGATCAGCAGAATCTAGAGTCTCCTGGGAGGAGACTGCTAGGAAATCTTTTCATCTCCGAGGGCCAGATTGGCTGCTTTCAGCTCTATTGTAGAACAGAAAATGTAAATTAACAGGTGTGCCTGTGTTCCAACAAACACAGTGAGATTTGAAATTTTTTCTACTTTTAAGGTTTTTAAAAATTTATTTTTATTGGAAAAGCATATTTACAGAGAGGAGAGACAAAGATCCTCCATCGGCTAGTTCACTACCCAGATGCCCACAGGCCCTCACTGGAAGTCAGTGTCCACACCAGGCCTACCAGGCTTCGGATCGGCACAGCATCAGCCGTTGCACTCACTTGGGGAGTGAATCATGGGATGGAAGATCTTCCTCTCTGTCTCTCCTCCTCTTTGTATATCTGACTTTCCAATAAATAAATAAATCTTTAAAAAAAAATCAAGGCGAAAGATCTCAACCACTGCAGGCGTCTTTTTTGTCATAATAGTTTTATTAGTTTGCGTACTGTTTGTCAACACTCCGGTTCTTCTCTCCTAGTTTGATACACACATCAGCTCACTCATCCTCTTCTCCCCATATTTCATAAATCGTGATGTTGTTCTGTGGGTCTGGAGGCGCCTCTAAGCTTTGCAGCCTGAGGTTGTTGTTAGCTGCCATAGCAACCTTGAGATTGCGCACTTTGGACACAAATTTCACCAGGTCCATCTCGAGCTGCGTCAGCGTATTGAACGCGTAGTCTCTGTTGGGGGAGCCACTTTGGTGTTTCTTTGTTGGAGAGCGAAATGTACAGCCTCGAAGATTAAGAGGATTCTGCTCCTGCCAAGAAAGCAATTCGGGTGAGTGAGGCCGTGGACGTGGCCGGTCTGGGCATAGTCCCCAGCAGAGGGCTCTGGCGTGGGCAGATAGTGGCCTAACCTGGCCTGCCAGCTGCTGTAGCAAATAAAGTTTTATTGGAAAACACCCATGCTCGTTCATTTGTAGATCATCTGTGTGTGCTCTCACTTTACAAGGGTGGAGTGGCCCCAGTGGAGACCATGCGGACCCCCGCATTAAACGTATTTGCCATCCGGCCCTTGCTCAGAGAAGGCCAATCTTTGCGCTGGTCAGCCTGGACGCAGCATTGTGAGGTGCCGCAGGGTTTGCCTGTGCTAGAGCGAGCTGTCCCTCTCCCTCCCCTCCAGTGGGGTTTGCCTGTGCTAGAGTGAGCGAGCTCTGTCCCCCTCCCTCCCGCGGGGTTTGCCTACACTAGGGCTCTCCCCTTCTCCCCTCTCATGAGATTTGCAGAGCCACCTTGGGGACCAGCAGCGGTCACTGCCTGACCCCTCAGCCCTCTGCAAAGGTCTCCAGGAAGACAGTGGATTTTACCATACTGAGTAATTCTGTCCTGAAACACCCCTTAAGTTTTTGAATCTACCCTCAATTTGAAAAAAAAAAAATTGTGCAGGCAAAAGACAAGTACAGAAAGTCAGCTTCGGTGGTTTGTCCCAATCTCAGTGGATTTGGGGGCCATCATCTTCCCTGAGGACATGCCAGGACGTGTGTCTGCTAACCTTGACCATGACCGTCAAGCCTACTGTGTGTAGCTGTCTGGCCTTCACCTGCATCTCTGAGCTCGCGTGGGGCTGGGAAGACGTGATGTGGGAAGACGCCGCTGTGCTTACCTTGTTCTTCTCACTGTCTCCTCGAAACTTGAGTATCACATACAACACAATAACAAACGAAAGCCAGAGCCATTTGCTTCCAAGCCAGCCTTGGGCGTGCTCTGGTAGGTTCTGCCTAATCCGGAAGTGCCCTCCGCAAGGCACCTTTCCCTGGGGCTCTTTGCCTTTCTCTCTCAGAGAAGAGAACATGAAGGCATAGCAACAGGAGAGGCACAGGGGTAAGACCAGGAAGCATTTCAGCATCCGCATGGTGGGCAGAAGTTGGGGAGGAGGGTGCTCATGGTGGGGTGGCTTGCTCTCGCAGCTGGGAGACCCAGGTGCCTAGTGTTGCGCTGTCAGTGATGTCACAGCTCAGGCCATTGTGATGAGGCCCCAGTGCATGCTGGGAGCAGGGCTTAAAGGGAGACTGAGAAATTCCCAGCAGGCACGGGAGAAGACTTAGGAAGAAAGAATAGAACTTAAAGAGGGAGAACAAAGGACTGTTCTAGATTCAGCCTTTTAGGAAGGCTTCCTGGGAAGAGATTTGGGTACAACCCGATGTGGATAACTTAGCCAGTAAGTCAGGGAGGGAGGGCTGTGTGAAGAGCCCTGGGTCGGAAGAGTACATGCTGTTTGATCGCTGAGGCCAAGTTCAGGAACAGGCCTAGACTCACAGGTCAGTGCATTAGAAACTGTGACACTTGGGGGATGGGACACAGGACATGGTCCTTGGCGGAGTGTAAGCCTTGGACTTGCATTTACCTGGGTCACTCGTGTGGCAGTCTTCCTCTTGGAGACCCTGATTCATTAGGCATCTCAAGCGGCCAGCAGTACGATCCAGCGGCAGAAGCCACTCGCCTGTAATGCTGTCAAGTTTGAGTCCTGGCTGCTCTGCTTCTGGTCCAGCTCCCTGCTAACGCACCTGGCTCAAGGAATGGGAGGCCTCAATGTAATTCCTGATTCTTGGCTCAGGCCTAGCCTGGCCCTGGCTGATGCAGCTGCTTGGGAAGTAAAGCAGCCCACAGACGTCTCCTCCCTCAACTCCCCCATCCCCTTGTCTTTCAAATACTTTTTGTAGTGGTTGTTGTTGTACACATTTTTTTGATAATCTTTGCATTTTTGATTAGGGTGTGAAGGGTCAAGGGCTAGAGGAAAGTGGGTGAGATAATTATTTTCACATTCTCTTCTTTCCTTTCTGTATCTGGGAGAAGGGGAAAGATAAGGGGAGAAGCCACACCCAGCCTCCCAACCATCCCAGGGTCTTTGGTGTGGGGCATGCGCCGAGGGTCCTGTCAAGTGGTTTTCATAGTTCAACAGTGCTGTATTGCTGCCGATCTTGCCACTTCAGTCACGATGAAATCTCTCCAGACTCCACTGGCTGACATGGTCTACCTTAGAGTCTCCGTTTGCCCAGGTATTCACTGCCAACTCTTGGCTGGGATAGCTAATTTATTTTGTCCTCTGTTATAGTACCAGGTGTCCTCTGCAGGCTCCAGTGTACTGCCATGTCCTTCATGTGCACCTGGATATGCTGTCCACTGCTCTAAGCCACTGCGGAGGCCCAGCTTTGACACATGCATTCCACAATCAGATCATGGAACCTGCAATTTTCTCCATGGTTGAAATTCTGAATCCAGTGGTTCAGATGAGGCAATTCCCAAAGAAACTTCACCTGACGTGATCCGAGACCTAATTCTTGTGTGTGCACGACAATATTGGGTCCGGCACAGTCCGTCGCCCAAATCAGCCTCCATGCACACATTGTTTAGTTGCAATTGCCAAGTCAGTTATCTCCAGCCCTGTCTTCTACACAAACTAACAGCTGTTGCTGTCCAGTCCAATCCTGCCTACAGCACACTTAGCTCCCACGCAAACCAGTGGGAGTTGTAGTGTAGGTGGAATGGTCTGCAATAACCCCCACCAGGCCCACCCCCCGCCCTCGTTACCATCCTTGCCAGTATGTACAGTGGACTGTTCCAGTCTGTCCCACACCCATTCAGCTCTCATACATGTCAGTGGGCACTGACGCCTACTTCAACCCAATCAGCCCCCCTATCCAGTCCACACACCTGCTGGTGGGTGCCACTTAATGTCTAGCCATGCCTGTCCCAGTCCTGGGTCTCATGCTCACCAGTTGGAGTGGCAACCTAAGAGAGAGGTGCCCACTGTTTCTCTAACGGACTCACTCCCACTCCTGGATCTTGCACTCTCCAGGTGGTTCTGCAGTTGAGCTCAACAGAGTTTGCCCCCTGTGCTAGTATCTGCCAGCTGATGCTGTGGCAAAGCCCAAACAACCCACACCTGCTCTGGCTTATGCATGCATGTATCAGTAGATACAGTACGCCTAGCCTGTCCTGTCTCCAATCCAGTTCACATGCAGGCCAACAGGTGTTATAGCCCTGCCTGGTCTGGGGGGGAACTCCATGCAGGCCCCCTACTGGGTTCACTCCCTACCCCTCGGGCCTTATGTGTGCTGATTGGGTGCAGTGGCCCAATCTGTTAAGGCCTGCCTAAACTTGGCATTTGCCAGTGGGTGCTATAGACTGGTTCAGCCCAGCACTTCCACCTTTCCAGCTCACACTGGTGGGGACTACAGCCTAGCCAGCCCAGCCAGCCCCCAGTCCTGGCCCTAATGTGAACTGGCTAGTATTCAGGTTGGACCTGGCATGACCCACACGCCATTCTGTCTTTCAGATTTGCCAGTGGGTGATACGAACTGGCCCAGCCTGACCTGCTCCAGACCTGAGCCAAAGGTAAGCCTGTGGTGCTGTAACCTGGCCTGGTCTGGGCTGCTTCCTTTCTTGGTTCTCATGCTCACTTGCAGGGACTGTGTCCTGACAGAGGAGTTCCCCAAGCTCCTCCATCAGATGCTCTCCCAATGTCAGATCTCACGCACACCAGTGGGTCCATGGGCCAGGCCTACTTAGTCTACCTCCTGTCCTAGCAGGAACAGTGGCCTTTCCTGACTGGCCCTCACCCATTCTGGTTCTGTTTGGGTGCTACAGCCCAGCCAAGCCTAGTCCACAACCAGACACAGCTCGTGCATGGCTCAGCAGGGGCAGACACTTGGCTCAGCTCATCCTACACCCACCCTGTTCTTACGAGCTCCAATGGGTGCTGGAGTCTAGCCCAGTCTGGCACACCCCAGACCCAGTCCACACCCATACCGAGGGAGATTGTAGCCATGTCCAGACCAGACTACAGCCCCACTCTGGCCCCCATACTCGCCAGTGGACCCACAACCCAGTCAGGGTGTCCCCTTAGCTCCCCAACCAGGCCTGATCCCAGATAATGATCTCACGTGTGCCAATGGTTGCCGACTCAGCTTGGCACAGCCCAGCTGGCCCCTAGTCCCAGCTCTTGCTGGCAAGTCCTGCAACTGGGCCCTGCTCAGTCTACTCTCATCCCTGGCTCATGCAAACCAGTGGATATGGCAACCTAGCCTGGCATGACCTTGCACTCCATCCTGGTTTCTGCACTTGCCAGTGGACTATGGCTTGCTCGGCCCTGCCAGGTCCGTCCCCTTCCAAAACCAACTCACACACTTGCTGACGGATGGAGCTGCCCTGCCCGGCCTGCCCAGCACCCAGGCCTGGGCCACGTGCTCAAAAGCAGAAGTTATGACCCACTAGGGAAGTTTCCCAGGTTCCCCCTCTCGGGCCACCCCAAGACCCAGATCTCACTCACATCAGTTGGTGCTTGGCCCTTACACCTAACGGTCTGCCCCGTTGGTCCTGGCCTTTGTTTTTTTTTATTTTGATTTTTGAAATTTATCATACAATTCTGTATAGTCTCGGATTCCCCTCCCCCCATTTTCCGCCCCCACAATTGATTCTTCCCACAATGTGACACTCTTCATAATGAGTTACAGCTCCAGCTCCATCAGTCTGCTATTTAAGTGTGCCCTGACAATACTGGTATAGACAGTCCCTGCTAATGTGCCCGGGAAAACTACAGAAGATGGGCTCCTGCCTTCTGCCTGGCACAACCATGGCTGCTGTGGCCATCTGGGGAGTGACCCAACGAATGGACAATCTCTCTAACTCTGCTTCTTAAAGAGCTGAGACCAGACACCTAAGTGTTGGCCTGGCGGGAAGGCGCAGTGAACCCCGACTACAGCCCATGTGACGGAGCAGCCATCGGAGGTGCAGGCCGCCGCCTCATACAGCGCCCCATGATTGCAAAACCACTCCTGTCTCCTATGATGCTGAGGCTGCCATGCTGTTACCAGAACATCAGTGGGAGGAACAGGGGAAAAAACAGAAAAACAAACAGGAGAAAAGGCAGCTTTATTCATGTGCCGAATCATTAGACGCTCAGCTACAACCTAACCTCGGCTATCTTCACATCTACAAACTGGGGAAGACTCCCCAAGTGCCAGGCCCACCCTGGGCTGCAGTGAGGGGACATGGGCCTTCAAAGACTCAGCAGACAGCAAGTGCAAACCTGTCTTCTCCAGAGGCAGAAAACACTGGAATTAGCATCAAAATAAACCAACCCACATCCCAGGACACCTGCAGTCTGACGTCACCACAGGCAGAAAAGGTGCAGCAAACACCACTTGGCCGCCATGGAAGACCAGGAGCAGCAGCAGGTGGAAGCGTGGGCGTGGGTTGTGAGCCCCTGTGCAAGCCAGCCATGGCTTCCCTAGACGCAGGGGCGCCACACAGCAAGTGACCACATGGGCTGAGAGGGTGGGAGGACAGCTTTATACCATCAGGTGCACGAGCCACCCAGAGACCCCGGGACAGCGAGGCGTGCCCTTCAAAAGCAGTAGGACGTGTGGGTGACCCAGTGAGCTGACTCCTCCTTGGAGCGCTTGGCGGAGCTGTGGGTTGTGAAAATGGACTTATAGGTCTCGGACTCGTCGCTGTCAGCAATGGATCGCTTTGGGGCTCCTCCTGCAGCCTTCCCAGCTTTTCCAGAAGAGCCTCCGCTCGCTGCCAGAAAAACGAAAAACACCATTGTTCGGGCTGAAGCAGAGATCCTCCCACAGCGCCCCGCTCGGAAGGAAGCCAGCAGGCTCTCAGAGGAGTGCCAGAGTCAGGAGGCAGGGGGCATTACAAAGTTCATGGAAAGCACAGGTGTGAGAAAAACAGACCCAGAGTTCAAAGCCACTGCCTAGCTCCATCTTCCAGACACTTTCTGAAGCACCCCTTTATCCACAGCACAGTCAGTCCCGAAAACAGACTGACCGCCTCGTTTCCCTGCCACTTAATCCCCTGCCGATGATGGCCTGCCAGGCACTGGTGGTCCAGCCTACAGGGGCTTCAATGCGGGCAGGGGGTCCATGGAGGCACCGGGAGCCTGCCAGCCAGGCTCCGTCAGGTGACCCACGTGCAGGGCCTGGCTGGTGCTTAA